AAGCAGAGTCCAGCGGAGTCGGGTGGTCCCGGGAGGGCAGGGCTCGCACCGGCCCCCTGGCGATGCCGTCTACGGTGGTGGCATCTGCCCTGCCATGGTTTCAAGGCTCACTTGCTCATCTCGAGCTGGCAGGGGCCCCGTACAGCACAGCCCTCCCTGTAACCCTGGGTCCCCAGCAGGGACGCTGGGCGTGCTGGCACCTCTGCGATAACGGCACTGGGGAGGGGGCTGCAAGCGCCCCACATAGAGCAGGGCACCACCAGAGACCCTCCTCTGCTTGGTCCAGCTCTACCACATCCCCGCAGGGGCGAGACTCGCCCCCCTGCTCCTCCAGCCTTCCCAGGAGCTGCAGGCGAAGTGGGGAGCGGAGGGGGGAACCTCACCCCCACCCCACAAACAGAGCCACCACACCCCACCCCTGACGCTGGCAACTCACCATCACGCTGCAGGGCTTCCCGCTCATGTCTCTCCTGTCTCCTGGAAGATGAACACAGTGCTGTGATCCCTCTCTTCCCCCAGGTAGGCACCTCTTCCCACCCAGTCCACACCTGCATGGAGCCCCCAAGCCAGGGTGAGCGCTTTGGGGGTCCCCCGCACCCGGTGCTCACCTGAGGAACGGTGGCAGTAGTGCCGCCACCCACAGAAGATGATGAGAACCACAGGGAAGGCCACAGCTAAGGTGATGGCAATGATCAAGCTGGCTAAAGCAGATAAAACAGGGCATGTGGGGAGCTGCTCCTTGTCTCCTCAGCAGCAGCCCACCCTCAGCTCGTCTCCCCTCCACCAGCAGCCCCCCCACTTACAAGGGAAGTCGGAGAAGGTACCGGTGTAAGGACCGCACTGGCGGTCGCTGTGCGGCGTGCAGGGAGCCAGCTCCACTTCATCCTTGAGACACCTGGGAAAAGGGCAAACAGGGCAGGCTCAGCGGCCCTGGGGGGGCTCCCAGCAGAGCTCCCGGTGGGCCCCACCGCGTCACCCCAGCTCACCGGGGCCGGCACTTCTGGCACATCTCGCAGGGGTGGTCCGGGGAGCAGAAGGTGCCGTTCCTGCAGATGCACTGCGTGTCTCTGACGGCTCGGCAGGGACTCGGCTCCACCTGATCTGCAGGCGAGAGGAGAAGCGGCTCTACCCCAGCCCCTCCGCGCCACGCTCCTCCACCCGCTTCCTTCGTTAAGGCGGCTAATGACCCGAGCTGACCCTCAAGCCTGGGGAAGACCAAGTCGTACCCTGCTGTGGAGTTTCAGCCTTACCCTTTCCTGCCCACACCTCACCATGCCCAAGAGAAAAGCAACGCTCGCATCAAAGCTCCACCAGCAGCCTACAACGCTGCCGTGAGCCCCGTCCTCCCGGTCCTTGCTGGGTGGAGGTCTCGTGTCCAGGCTTTGCTTGAGGGATGCTGCATTAAATGGAGACATAGGTCTGGCACAAGCCGCCACACCAATTCCAGACCCAGCCTGCTCCCGCACCCTGAGCCGCACTTTGGGGACGCTGCAGGTGACCGTGCTCTTAAATAGAGAGGTCTCTGGTCAGCTGAACCCAGCCCATGCTACCTGCCAGTATCGCCATCGTACACACCGGCTCATACCTTCCCTACATGTCCGGCAGCCAAGGCACTTGGAAAAGTCATTTGGGTATTCCGTGTATTCATTGTCTTTACACGGCGAACACTTGCTGGAGCCGTTCCTGTAGCTTTCTGCAACGTAGGTGCCTGCAAGAAGGGGTGGGGGAGAAAGAAAGAGCGTATCCGTGGGCACGCAGCACAGGGCAGAGGTGTGTTTATAGAATCATAGAATCGCTTTGGTTGGAAAAGCCCTTTAAGATCATCGAGTCCAACCGTTCCCCTACCCCTGCCATCCCACCACTAAACCCTGGCCCTAAGCACCTCATCTCTTCTTCTTTTAAATCCCCCCAGGGATGGGGACTCGACCACCTCCCTGGGCAGCCCCTTCCAGAGCCTGACAGCCCTTTTTGCAGAAAAGGGAGTCGATTCCACTGCCAGTGCAGTTAAGAGGCAAATTAGGAACCGTCAAAAGGAAAACGTTCACATCATGAGTCCTTAGATCTCATGACGGCGCAGCGGGGGAAGAGCCAGAGCACCCACTGCCTCCTTGCAAGGAATGAGGACACACAGGCCCCGCGGGCAGAAACCCGGCAGGGCTGCACGGGCTGCGACGTCCGAGCCATCTTACCCGCAGGGCACTTCTTGCCATAGTGGCCGCTGTCTTGGATGAGGTAAAACTCTTCCCTACTTGGGTCCGAGGCATCCGACTGGTCCCTCCTATGCAGGGCTACTGCAACAGTTCCCAACACAGCCTCCTGCTAAAAAAAAAAAAAAAAAAGCAGAAAAACTTGGGTTAAAAACCACCGCAAGTCCATTGGGCAAGGGAAGAAAGAGTTGCGCCAGGGCAGGTTTAGGTTGGACATTAGGAAAAATTTCTTTACAGGAAGGGTTGTCAGGCTCTGGAATGGGCTGCCCAGGGAGGTGGTTGAGTCCCCATCCCTGGGGGGATTTAAAAGATGGGTAGATGAGGTGCTGAGGGACAGGGTTTGGGGGTGGGATGGCAGGGTTAGGGGAACGGTTGGACGTGATGATCTTAAAGGGCTTTTCCAACCTAGATGATTCTACGATTCTACAAAAGAGAAGGGCAAGAGCTGATCTGCCCAGTGCACTCAGGCAAAGCGGGAGAAGAACACTGGGATGGCTCAGAGCCGCTGGACCAGCAACCAAACCTCCCCTTGACACAGGTGAAGGGCACTTCCCCCATCCCAGGGCGGTTATTCCCTTGGCAAAGCAGAAGGAGGAGGTTTGCAGAGGGATTCCCGTGTGCCAGGTTACCAGCGAGGCAAAGGCTCGCTAACGCTTCCTTAGGATAACATCAGGACCCCTTTCCTTCCCCAATTTCTGACTGTGTGAACCAACAGCACCGAAGAAAATGGAAGGGTAGGGAAGAGGAACAGGGAGGGCGTTTGTGGGGAGGAAACTGGCCCCGTGTCAAGGCTGGTACGCGGCTCCTGTGCCCACAAGAAACACCCGGGCTGCTCTGGGCTCCCAGGGGACAGCATGGCCTCCAGCATTTCCGCATTATCCCCATTATCTTCCTGCGGATCGGGAAGCCAACGGCTCCGTTTCCGCCAGCTCACAACGCATCTTTCTGCTGGCTCAGCTCTTTCCATACCGGCTGGTTTGCTGCAGCTACGGAGGGGATGATGCTCAATGGAAACGGCCACTTGCCCCATCAGGGTTTGGGGGGGCCCTTGGGCACCCCATGTCCTCAAGGGGGACAGTGCCCTTGGCATCTCAACTAGCACAGAGCACAGGTACTCCACGGATATAAATAAATGGATATAAATGGATATAAATGGATATAAATGGATATAAATGGATATAAATGGATATAAATGGATATAAATCTGCCCCTACCTCCAGCCTCTGCCCCGGGTTACGGGAAGGGCCGATGCCCGGCCATGCCGTGTACTGCACAGCCTCCGGTAGAGGCACTTTGCCCTTTCCCTCCCATACACCAGGCATGAAACCTGCCTCTTAAAGCAAATATTTCTTCAGTGAGTCAGAAGCTCCCTTTGAGAGGCTGAAACAATAGAGACGCGAGCCGTCCCCTGAGCCAGCCCGGCCATCTACAGAGCTGAGCCCCCGCTCCTCCTCCTCCCCGGACACTTCCTGAGCAAAGGAGGGTGCGAGCGCTGAATCCGACCACAGCAGGTCCAGCGGTCACGGGGTTCCAGAGGGTGACGCAGACCCGCAAATGCCACCGCTGAGACCAACCAGGCAACGGAGAGGGTGACCCCCTGCCGCCACCACGGCACAGACCCCCGGCCAGCCCGGGAACGGGGCCATCTCCAGACCCTGACCTGGAGGAATCAAATCCACGTCCCTCCAACGGCTCCTGGCTCCGCATCTCCTGCTGCTGCTTTCTCCAGTGGGCAGGGCTTGCAAGTTTATGAAGTGCTTTATCCAGCTTAGGAGATAAGTTGTGCTTTTACTTCCCAGCCACAAGCAGCTCTCAGGGCTTTACCCACTGTGGTCTTGAAAGTCTTCAGGGACTGAGGCTGGGCAACCTGTCCCACTGCCTCGCTGTCCCCAGAGGGGAATAAAAGAAGTTTCTCTCCCATTCAAACTCTGCCAGGCCACCAAGGCAGCGTTGCCTGCTGTTTGGAAAGGCCCCTTAGGCACAGGATTTCATTGCTTTTCATGAAACAGCAGTTTAGCAGAGCTTGCCCAAGTGCACGATAAGGTTATCAGCCTCAGCCAGGGCAGCCCAGGTACATCAGCCCACCCCGGGGCGCTTGGCAGGCGAGGGCTCCCACCCCTGACTAACCTAACAGCCTCGCAAAGCACGGAGAAACCAGGCTGGGAGCCGTGGGAGAGATGCAATGGTATTCAGGAGTAGTTGTCACCCACGGGAAACATCCCAAGAAAGCAACGTTGCCTCAAGGCAGAGGAATTAGCAGGCACAGGAATCCCCAATACCCTCATCAGCTAAAAGCCTCTTCCTTCTGGATCATCAGGTCTGGAAAAAAAAAGCTCTGGGAATCTTTCAACTTTCCCTTCCTCCATCCCCAATTTGGTTTTCCTCCTGAAGTGATCGCAAGGAAGGAGTTGGGCCCTACAGCAGATGACAGACCCCTTGCTGAACCCCTGACCATCGATGAACATCCATGCAGCATTAACGCCCTTGGTGGTAGCCAAGAGGGATAAAAGGGAGATCCCCTGGCCAACAGGGATAAAAGAGGTGCCAGGCAGAGACACCTGGCATGTCTCTGCTCCCAGGGCACAGGTCTGATGAAGGCAGGGGGTTTTCCCCCAAAACTTTCCATGGGTGGACTTTGAGCTCCCGCAAAC